TCCTAATCCTCCTATATGTGCAAACATATGATATTTGTCCTTCTCTGCCTGACTTATTTCGCTCAGCATAACACCCTCAAGGTCCATCCATGTTGCTACACATGGTCAGATTTCATTGTTTCTCATTGCCATGTAGTATTCCATGGTATAGATAAACCACATCTTCTTGATCCATTCATCTGTGGATGGACACTTAGGCTCTTTCCATGTTTTAGCTATTGTGGAGAGTGCTGCTATGAACATTGGGGTACCCAAATAATTTGAATACTCAAAGCAAATTTTTGTTTTAAAAGATTTCTTGAGACATAATCCATTATAAAGTGCACAGTTCTTAAGCGTATAGATCATTTAATTTTTACATACGTGTACACCTATATATAAAGCAAAATTATATTTCACTGGGTGAAACAGTAAAGGTTAATTTGTATTGGTGAATCCATAGCTAAATATTACATATTTGTCTTTACATGTAAAAATTGATCTATCATCAACTGAGATAAAGTTTTAAATTTCTTTTGTCAATGTTTAACCACTGGTTTTATCTATAAGTCCCACATTGTCAGTTTTATCTATACAAAGTTATTTGAAAGAACTGATTAAAAGAAAACCAAACTCTAGTAACATCACACAATTCATCTATTCTAATTTGTCTCAAGTGACTCTCTTTATTGAGGCTGTACAAGTGAGTACTGAGTCAAATTCAGAATGGAGACTTAAAATACACTTCACTTCATTTGGAGTGCCTTGTTGGCTCAGCCGGTGAAGCATCTGAATTCAGCTCAGGTCATGATCTCATGGTTCATGAGTTCGAGCCCCACATTGGGTTCTGTGCTGACAGCTCAGAGCCTGGAGCCTGCTTCAGATTCTGTGTCTCCCTCTCTGTCTCTGCCCCTCCTCCGCTCATGCTCTGTGTCTCTCTGTCTCAATACTAAATTAAAAAAAAATAAAAATATACTTCATTCTACTTACGTCATATTCTTTCTTTTCTTCTTATTTAGATGTTTTGGTAGTAGTTTTGAACACCAACCTACTCCTAACATTTAGTGGGGTTTGGGACTAAAGAACAAATGTAAACCAATACACCTCATGTCAAAGTCTTTATATCTCTGAAGATCTATATGTGATGTATATAACATAGATATATTAAATCTTTTATGTTCTTCTACTTACTAATGTGCCCCTTATAAAGATTCTGAATTTCCAAATCTGAGTTTAGATTTCTTGGACTTTTCAGCCTTTGTACTTCATGTTGCTTCTGTTTGTTCCCACACATAATTCTATCCAATCCTAAAAGGGACCTCTTGTACACACTATGGATGTCACACACTGCACTGCACAGCCGAGCTCCATTTTCCCCAAGTAGTTATTGTTGACAGCTCTCAGGCTACCACATAGACCACTGATATTAAATGTTTGGTCTACTGCTTGCTTCGGGAGCACAAACTAAGAATTGGAACAATACAGAGAAGATTAGTATGCCCCCTGTGCAAGGATGACATGCAAATTCATAAGGTGTTCCATATCAAGCAAGTGAGTAAGTAGATAGATGATAGATGATAGATAGATAGATAAATAGATAGATAGATAGATAGATAGATAGATAGATAGATAGATACATTTTTGGTCTAAATAATCAATAAACATGATTATCAGTATTTCTTTTGACCTAAGGGTGCTATGAATCAAGAATGTTTGGAGACCTGTGTCTCAGTTTCAATGAAGGGGCTCTGCTTAATCCCAAGAAGTATTTAAATACGTGTACACTTTATACTTGTTTTTGCCCCTACAATTCTGACTATTTCAATCCCTGCTGTGAATGTAATGGCAAAGTGCTATGCACAAAATGGGTTTTACATGTGTACTTATTTACTTATTTAATTCATTGAATACATGAATAAATTGGCTAAGTAAATACATGAATGCTTAGTAAAGGAATCTGAGTCATTAAAGGACAATATTTTTTAAAAATCACAGTGAGTGTCTAGATATGGGAAGAGGGAGGTATAACACTAAAGAAAACTTGTGACAAAATATTTCATAGTAAACCCCAAGTGATAGAAATCCTGAACAGAGAAAAAAGCACTGATATTTAAGAAAGATAGGCAAGGGGGCAAAGATATAAAAATTGTATAAGTTTAAAAGATTTTAAAAACTACAGCAAAAATAAATAAGAACGAAAAATGAGAGAAAATGGAAATATTTTCAAGTGCTTATCACTTGTCATGCACAGTGCTGAATGTTTTCTATGTTCTATTCCAGTCCCACTTTCCAACAGTTCTCTAAGATGGGTATCAAAACCCTTAGCTGGAAAAATGGGTAAAATGAAGTTCACAGGAGTGAACTGAATTGTGTTCAATCACTTAGTTCTAAATGATAAAGTCAAATTTGGAGCATGGATCACTTTAATATTATTTCCTTTCCACCAAATTTAAAATACACTTAAAGAGTATTCCCTATGTAAAAGTACCAAGGCACTGCTAGTGAAATTTTGCTGAGATGATTAGTGTAAAATAACTTCTGTCTTTTTTCAGTCACTTTGGTAATTAGTGTCTTCATTGTTTTAACTGCTGAAACTAGAATCAAAACTAGAAAGGAATAGTTAGGGAAAATGAGTAGCTCTTTGTTACAGAAATCTGATGTCAAGCATTTGAACTGAACTTTTTTTTTCTTCAATAGTTTATTGTCAAGTTGGTTTCCATATAACACCCTGTGCTCATCCCAAAAATGCCCTCCCCCATGCCCATCTTCAACTCTTGCACTTTCACCCACCCCCATCAGCCCTCAGTTTGTTCTCAGCATTCAAGAGTCCCTCATGGTTTGCCTCCCTCCCTCTCCCCCACTATTTTTCCCCTTCTCCTCCTTCATGGTCCTCCGTTAGCTTCCTCCTAATCCACTAATATGTGCAAACATATGGTATCTGTCCTTCTCTGCCTGACTTATTTTTGTCAGCATAACGCCCTCCAGTTCCATCCATGTGGCTACACATGGCCAGATTTCATTCTTTTTCATTGCCATGTAGTATTCCATCGTATAGATAAACCACATCTTCTTGATCTATTCATCAGTTGATGGACTCTTAGGCTCGTTTCATGATTTGGCTATTGTTGAGAGTGCTGCTATGAACATTGGGGTACATGTGCTCCTATGCATCAGCACTCCTGTATCCCTTGGGTAAATGCCTAGCTGTGCTATTGCTGGGTAATAGGATTAATTTTTTGAGGAACCTCCTTACTGTTTTCCAGAGGGGTTGCACCAATTTACATTCCCACCAACAGTGTAGGAGGGTGTCCGTTTATCCACATCCTTGCCAGCATCTAGAGTCTCCTGATTTGTTCATTTTAGCCACTCTGACCGGCGTGAGGTGGTGTCTCAGTGTGGTTTTGATCTGCATTTCCCTGATGATGAGGGCCACTGAGCATCATTTCATGTGCCTGTTGGCCATCTGGATGTCCTCTTTGGAGAAGTGTCTGTTCATGTCTTCCACCCATTTCTTCACTGGATTATGTGTTTTTTGGGTGTGGAGTGTGGTGAGTTCCTTATAGATTTTGTATACTAGCCCTGTATCTGATATGTGATTTGCAACTATCTTTTCCCATTCTGTCAGTTGCCTATTCGTTTTATTGATTGACTCCCTTGCCGTGAAGAAGCTTTTTATCTTGATAAGGTCCCAATAGTTCATTTTTGCTCTTTATTCCCTTACCTTTGGGGATGTGTCAAGTAAGAAATCGCTGCATTTGAGGTCAAGGACGTTTTTTCCTGCCTTCTCTTCTAGGGTTTTGATGGTTTCCTGTCTCACATTCAGGTCCTTTATCCATTTTGAGTTCATTTTTGTGTATAGTGTGAGAAAATGATCTAGTTTCATTCTTCTGCATGTTGCTATCCAGTTCTCAAGGCACCACCTGTTAAAGAGGCTCTTTTTTCCATTGGATACTCTATCCCACTTTATCAAAGATTAGTTGGCCATATATTTGTGAGTCCAGTTCTGAGTTCTCTATTCCATTGCATTGGTCTATGTGTCTGTTTTTGTGCCAATACAATACTGTCTTTATGATGACAGCTTTGTAGTAGAGGCTAAAGTCTGGGATGCTGATGCCTCCCGCTTTGGTTTTCTTCTTCAATGTTACTTTGGCTTTTCCGGTTTTTTTGTGGTTCCATACAAATTTTAGGATAGTTCGTTCTAGCTTTGAGAAGAATGCGGTGCAATTTTGATTCGGATTGCATTGAATGTGTAGATTGCTCTGGGTAGTAATGATATTTTAATTTTAACAATATTCTTCCTATCCATGAGCATGGAATGTTTTTCCATTTCGTTGTGTCTTCTTCAATTTCCTTCATAAGTTTTCTATAGTTTTCATCATACGTATCTCCTATATCTTAGGTTAGGTTTATTCATAGGCATTTTATGGTTTTTTTGTGCAATTGTGATTGGGATCAGTTTCTTGATTTCTCTTTCTGTTGCTTCATTATTGGTGTATAAAAATGCAACTGATTTCTGTACATTGATTTTTGTATCCTGCAACTTTGCTGAATTCATGGATCATTTCTAGTATGCTTCTGCAGGAGTCTGTTGAGTCTTCTATGTAGAGTATTATGTCATCTTTGAAAAGTGAAAGTTTTACTTCTTCTTTGCCAGTTCTGATGCCTTTTATTTCCTTTTGTTATCTGATGGCTGATGCTAGGACTTCCAGCACTATGTTAAACAACAGTGGTGAGACTGGGCATCCCTGTCGTGTTCCTGATTTCAGGGGGAAAGAACTCAGGTTCTTGCTATGGAGGATGATGTTAGCTGGGGTCTTCTCATAGATGACTTTTATGATGTTTAAGTAAGTTCCTTCTATCCCAACATTCTCGAGGTTCTTTACTAAGAAGGAATGCTGTATTTTGTCCAATGTGTTTTCTGCATCTATTGACAGGATCATATGGTTTTTATCTTTTCTTTTGTTGATGTGATGGATCACATTTATTGATTTGCGAATGTTGAACCAGCCCTGTAACCCAGGAATGAATCCCACTTGATCATGCCAGATAATTCTTTTTTAGTGCTCTTGGATTCGATTTGCAAGTACCTTGCCAAGGATTTTTGCATTCGTATTCATCAAGGATATTGGCCTGTAGTTCTCTTTTTTGCTGGATCTCTGGCTGGCTTGGAAATCAAAGTGATGCTGGCTTCATAAAATGAGTCTGGAAGTTTTCCTTCGATTTCTATTTTTTGGAATAGCTTGAGAAGAATCGGTATTAATTATGTTTTAAATGTATGATAGAATTCCCCAGGGAAACCATCTGGCCCAGGGCTCTTATTTGTTGGGAGATTTTGGATAACTGATTCGATTTCCTCACCAGTTATGGGTCTTTTTAGATTTTCTATCTCTTCCTGTGTCAATTTGGGTAGTGAGTGTGGGTTTAGGAATTTGTCCATTTCTTATACGTTGTCTAGTTTGTTGGCATATAATTTTTCATAGTATTCCCTGATAATTACTTGTATTTCTGAGGGGTTGGTTGTAATAAGTCCATTTTCATTCATGATTTTGTCTATTTGGGTACTCTCTCTTTGCTTTTTGAGAAGCCTGGCTAGAGGTTTGTCAATTTTGTTTATTTTTTCAAAGAACCAACTCTTGGTTTCATTGATCTGTTCAATTGTTTCTTTGGTCTCTTAGTTGTTTATTTCTGCTCTGATTTTTCCTATTTCTCTTCTTCTACAGGGTTTGGGGTGCTCCTGTTGCTCTGCCTCTAGTTCCTTTAGTCGAGTTATTAGATTCTGCACTTGCACTTTCTCTAATTTCTTGAAATAGGCCTGGAGTGCAATTTACTTTCNTTTGTCAATTTTGTTTATTTTTTCAAAAAACCAACTCTTGGTTTCATTGATCTGTTCAACTGTTTCTTTACTATCTATATAGTTTATTTCTGCCTTGATTTTTAGTATTTCTCTTCTTCTACTGGGTTTGGTGTGCTCTTGTTGCTCTCCCTCTAGTTTTCTAGGTGCGCTGTTAGATTTTGTACTTGTGCTTTTTCTAATTTTTTGAAATTGGCCTGGCGTGCAATGTACTTTCCTCTAAGGACTGCCTTTGTCACATCCCATAGAGTTTGGGTTGTTGTATTTTTATTTTCATTTGTTTCCATAATTTCTTATTTCTTCTCTAATTGCCTGATTGGCCCATTCATTCTTTAGTAGAGTGTTCTTTAACCTCCATGTTTTCAGAGGTTTTCCAGACTTCTTCCTGTGGTTGACTTCAAGTTTCATAGCATTGTGATCTGAAAGTGTGCATGTTATGATCTCAATTCTTTTATATTTATTGAGGGCTGCTTTGTGACCCAGTATGTGATCTATCTTGGAGAATATGCCATGCACAGTTGAAAAGAAAGTGAATTCCATGGCCAGAGGATGTAGAGTTCTAAATATATCTTTCAAATCCATTTGGTCCAATGTGTCATTCAAGTCCATTGTTTCTTTGGTGATTTTCTGTCTAGTTGATCTGTCCATTGCTGTAAGTGGAGTTTTAAAGTCCCCTGCTATCAGCACATTCTTATCC